GTAGGGATGCGAGGTCAATGGTATAACGACTACGGCATGCACGACTATGAGTACACCCCCCCCCCCAGGAAACGCCCGCCCGCGCGTTGCCCCTGGATACTTGCGGCGTAGAGCGTCCCCTACCAATTCGTTTTGGGTTGGACTATGGCGGCGGTGGCACGATGCCTCTCCTTGCCTATGCACGATGTTTGTTTGCAATCTGGTGTCGCTACCCTTGGTTGTTGTTTCTTGAATGAGAAGGAGGGTAGGATCGCACTGGCGCGTCGGGGATTGATGGTTCTGTCGACTGGTTTTCAGCGTTTTGGTTTTCGTTGTAGCCTGTAGCTGACCCGAAACGAATAACAGAGAAAGTCGGAGGATGNGGGGGGGGGGGGGGGGGGGGGGGGGGGGGGGGGGGGGGGGGGGGGGGGGGGGGGGGGGGGGGGGGGGGGGGGGGGGGGGGGGGGGGGGGGGGGGGGATGTGGTTCAGCGGTCGATGATCATCTCAACTTTGTCTTCACTACGAAGACAGGCGCAAGCGCTTGTTTGTTTTGGGCTGTGATGTGATTCACCTCGCTGTTTTTTTTTTTCTTTCAAGCGTCGACGATGTGTCGGGCGTTCCTACCAGGCAAATGGTCGCTTTGCTTCATTGATGCATCGTGTCCTTTTCTGGCTGCTACTGCTGTTTCCGCCTCGTGAGAGTGCATGGATTGGCTGTATGCCCACACCTGCGTTAATTTTAGATAGATTTCGTGCTCTTTGCCAAAGCTCTTCAAGTACATTCGATTAGTCCTATCCTTCACTTAAAAGGGGTGGGTGGAGAGGCCGTGCTTGTTCCACCAAATCAACATTAACATTGATCAGATATCGATCGAAACATGCGCCGTCGATATGGTAACCTTGACTACCCCTCTCTCCTGCCGCAGGGGGTAAGTGCAGGGGGGCACCGCTTGTGCACGTAGCGTGACGACTCGTAAACCCTGCGCTTGTAACGATGTACCGCAGTCATGTCGCTACACCAACCGTGGTCCCTGCGTACGGCCGGTGAAATCGCGTGACACAGATGGAATATTCAAGTTGCCCGGTAAGAGGTCGGCCAAATCCCTGGCGCTCAGGTACATACCCCGCCGTTCACACTGAACAACATCAACTAGCACTGTACCAAGACTCCGCGGGGTTGAGAGGCTCTCATTTCTATACCTTCCACCCCAACCGCTGGCTGTGGTTTTCCAAGCGAAGCCCTCTCCTTGACCCTCGCTGCGGCCGGCCGGCTACCGAAGGCGAAAATCCCAATCCGACACAACACATGCTGCTGTTCGCAGGCCCCCAACACACCGACCCTCACGGGGTCCTAGACCATGGCGCCTTTAGAAGCACTTTTGCGTTTTCAACCGCACTTGGACTGATGTCTTATCGTCAGGATAGCGCGGTCGATGCTTGCAATACGAACCAGTAGTGCGCGCGCGCGAATACACGCCAACGGTAGCAAATCGAACGGCACGCCGAGCAAAACATAGTCTACGTGACACGCGCTATAACAGATTTCCCTGATGCCTCCTCCTCGTGGTGGGTGCTCTCCTCCACCACTATGGCGTAGTAGATACCAGTAGACTTTTTGTGTCTGTTACTCTGCCCCGAGTGCCGGGGCGGCGGCGGTTGCAGCTGCCGCTGCTCCAGGTGATGACTAAGATAGTGGGCGGGAGCATGGAAATGTGGCGAAGTCGCCCCCCTCCCGTCCTCCCGCCGCCAGTAACATCGACGTTGCTCGAGGAGCCAAGAGGCACGCCCGGGTCCTCCTCGGACGCGTGCGCATCCCGTTGACGACGGGTGTCGCCGCCTGGAAAGGCGCGGCGCCGGTGGTGGTGCCCGAACCCACTGCCGGGTGGGACGAGGGTAACCCCCGCACCAGGGCTCGGCGTACCCGTCACCAAAACAGCAGCAGGGTCTCCGCCCACTACTCCACGCGCCCCTCGCCTAATCCTTCCATCCCGGCCACCCCTTGCCCCCATTGGGTCAATCATCTGTGGCCACGGAACGCGTCCGCGTCGTCAGTTGAGACCAGTACTGACGGAAGAAGACTGTGCACTCGGGCCTGCCCCTCCGCCCCCGTCACCCCTTCCTCTTGCCCCCTGTCCCCTCCCGGTCCCGCAACGCCCCGTACTCCCTGCGTCCCCTTGCGGTAGGCCGGAGGAGGAGAAAGCTCCTCCTCCCGCCCGGGGTGAGCACTCGGCTCGTCGTTGACTCGATTCGTTGCGACCTCTTGACGGCCTCGATTAGGTGCTCGGCGGAATTCGTGGTGTTCTCTCGATCATGCGTTGGACGGCCGCCACGAACGTGAGCTCTGCGAACATGGCACTCCACTCCTCCCCCAAGGTGACGCCGCAGTCGTGCGCGTGTTCATACGCCGACACGCTGGTGGGGCCGGAGTAGGACAAGGCGATCGGGTTGGGGTCGTCCACGGGCGGCACCTGCCCGGGACACCCCGCAGCTGGTCTGCCGGTCGATCGCCTCGGAGGCTAAAGCGGTCAGCCCTGGGTCGAACGTGCGCCTCATTCTTCGCACCTAACGGTAACGGCAACACGCACCACCCGAGAGGACGCGACTCTGTCAGGGTACTCTTGTTTACACTTTGGGGGACGTCAGCCGAAGATGGTTACCCAGATAAGAGGTAAAGCTCACGACATGATGGTGACGAAAAAAGAGCGGTGCTTAACGATAAATGCGCCGGTTAGATACTTTCTGTCGTCATCCTTCTCTTGCCCCCCCCCCCCCCCCCCCCCCCCCCCCCCCCCCCCCCCCCCCCCCCCCCCCCCCCCCCCC